AGGACTTAGGTAGGCCTTAGTTGACTAAGTGAAAAAGTATTCTTCAGAAAATCTCTGCCCAGCTTCTGTCTTATGCTGGAAGTGCTTCAAGCATGCAGGTGCTTCCATTTCTGGCTCTCATTTTGATGGGTGCCCAATGGTCATGTGTTTGGGCATGCCACAGTGTGCCCTGTAGGACACCAGAAGGCTCAGTGTTTACCTTCTGTCTGAAACATTACTTGGCTTGAATTCAACCTCCTCTCAGTGTGCCCTCTGCTCTGCTTCTCCCCACTCCCAGTCTGCGTTTGTGTTCCAAAATCCGACCGCTGAAGGAGGTGGGGGTGAGACTCCTTCCTGCACCTGAGGCAAGTTTTTCCCTCGTTTTCACCCTTGCACAAGAGTTCACTAATATGGAAGCAGGGAGATGGAGACTCTACACTTCCCAGTAAAGACACTCAACTGCATAAATGCAAATTTAAAAGGCCAGAAAGCAAGAAGGCATCAAGATTACTCTCTGGCCAAACTGTCAGAGTGCTCAGCTGGCCATGGAGAGCATGCATCTCAGTTTCTGCACTGAAGAGTGCATACACACTAACATCCTTGAAGAAAAAGATACCAAAACTGTTTTAACATGGATGTAGAAAAATTCCAAACTATATTTTCTTGGCATTGGCTTTGGAAATGGCTTTTTCATTTTGACTGACACATTAAGTAAACAAAGTAATAAAAATACGTGCTCACTTGTGACCAGTTTTGAAGAAACATCCCAAACAGCTGAAACTTTGCAATAACAGCCATGTAATGGAGAGGTCAGGAATAGGCGCTGTGAACCTGCAGTGAGATACATGAGGAACATAAACTAGTGTGCTGTCTTGTGAGAAACAACTCTGCAGTTACAACTATACATTTCTATGATGGCACTGTAAACATTACTAAATTGAACTATTCACAGAGAGCAGGAAAGAGGAGAGGAATGGGATATTACGCAAAAAGGAGGGAGAACAAAATAATGAGACATACCCTTATAGAAAAGATTATTATCTCATGGAGGAAGGAGACAGAGTCTAGCTACTGAAAGCCCCCAAAGGCATCCTAGAAAACAGGACAGTGGGAGGTATTAGGATCTCTGATATTCTAGTCCTGGTGCCAGAACTGACTGCTACTGCTATATGGGATAAGGCATGCCCAGAGTGGTAGTGGGTGCCCCATTACTGGAGACATTCAAGGCCAGGCTGGACAGGGCTCTGAGGACCCTGATCTAGCTGTAGGTATCCCTGTTCGCTGCAGAGGAGTTGGACCAGATGGCATTTAAGGGTCCCTTCCAACTCAAATCATCCTATGATTTCTCCCATCCTCTCTTTAGCTCAACCTTTCCTGTGTGGTTTTGCTGAGATGCTTACTTGTGCCAGAGGTGTTTTCTGAGAAGTACCTAATGCTCCTACAGCTGACTGAGGATTTCAGTAATACGGCATGGAAGTACAGAGTATCAGTGTGATAAGCAGAATGCAAAAGTAATGCTCCTGTCAGCCTCGTAGAGTAATTCTGGCACCTAACTCCATAGAAATGGAAAAAATGAGTTCATGAAAGTCTGTTTAGACTTGTTCATGTAGAAAGAGCCACATAAGATTTGCACAGAAAGAACAGGGAAAGGGTTAGTGGGTGGGAAAAGCATCACATCGGAGGCAAGTTTTGAATGCTTACCTGTGATATGAAGTGTTTGAAAAAGAGAGTTTGAAGCATTAATATGCAGAAAGAGACACAGTCAACAGTCCTGAATTTTTCACTACTGAAGAAAAGACATTCTTAAAAATAATAGAGCAGAACAGGTTTTTGGTGAACCTTTCTCTCTTTTCCAGCTGCTTTATATAAACCATATTATCAAGCACAAAAAAAAAAAAAAAAAAGAAGTTTCAGACTGATCAGTTTACTTACTTTGTGAAAGGAGACTTCAGTGTACGTGAGGGTTTCCAGGTGGAAAGCCGTGCATGGCCAAGTCCCCTGTATATCTGCAGAACCTGCAGCAGAGGCTGGAGGGCAGGTTTTAGGAAAAACAGACAGCAGTGCACTACCTGTTGGGAAGATATTGGTGTATGCTTTCTCTCTGTTTGGAGGCCTGATTAGGAGACCTGTGAAATCACTGGGAGTTTCTCCGTTAACCTCAATAAGCTTTGAGTAATCTCTTGCCTTTGCTCTTCCTACTTGGTTGTTTTCCTATTTCTTGCATAAGTGTAGTTTCGAAGGCTCATCTGTGTAAATCAATAGCTACTGCAAAGCCTCACATCCTGCCTCTGGAAAGAACAAGATTCCTGTACAAATCTCGCTAAGCAACAGTGTACCCTGACTTCTTCAGCTAAAATTCATCTTATATGGCCAGATGTCAGGCAGGCTGCCTAGGAGAGAAAGAGATGCATTTGGGTTTTTATTTTCTTAATACTGGTCTGGCAGTGATTTCCCCTGGACCTGCTGTGAGTGATGGAAAGCATGCCCCTAGCCCCAACACAATACCATTAACCTCAACCTCCAATGCAATCAGATCTGCAGCACTCAGGCCTCTGGGCAGGCTTTGCTGTGCCACCACTGTCACCTGCTCCTGAGTGTTACCATCCAAGGGTTGTTCTCTGCTGATGAGTGGCCAGGAGGAGGAGGAGGATGGACCTAAATGCACAGCGTCAGGAGCTGATCTTGATTTGAGCTTACATTTACAGTTCTTGTGGTCTGGTCTTGTGGAAAAAATCAAGAAGAGTTCATTTAGGACAATGAAGCCGTTAAGGGTCTGGAGTACAAGTCTCATGGGGAGTGGCTGAGAGAACTGGGATTGTTTAGTCTGGAGGAGGCTCAGGGGAGGGCCTTGTCACTCCCTACAATCATCTGAAAGGAAGTTATGGAGAGGTGGGGGTCAGCCTCTTCTCCCGGGTAACAGAAATAGGATGAGAGGGAATGGCCTCAAGTTACGTTGGGAAAGGTTCAGGTTGCGTAGTAGGAAATATTTCTTCTCAGAAAGAGCAGTGATGCAGTGGCACAGGCTGCCCAGGGATGTGATGGAGTCACCATCGCTGGAGATGTTCAAGAGCCGTGTGGATGTGGCATTGAGGGATGTGGTCAGTAGGCATGGTGGGAGTGGGCTGACAGTTGGACTGGGTGATCTTAAGTCTTTTCCAATCTTTATGATTCTGTGATCTATGATTTGTTTTTTAAAGGCAGCGTCATTCACAATATGATCAATTCCCAGTCTAACACTATTCTGCTGTGCAAGTAAGTGTTGGTCATTACCTGGGTTGAATGGCTCTTTTATGAAGGGTTCAGGCTGCGTGACTGCAGTGGCAGCTGGTAGAGGAGTTGACGCATTCTTTCATAACCACTGCTACTACCCCTCTCTCTTTTTTTTGCGTTCCAGAAATCAGACACAGAGGAGGATTTTTCTGATTGGTGACTGCACAGCAGAACCTCGTGTCTCCCACAGCTCACACAGCCCAAAAAGAGAAGGGTATTGCTAGGCAGAGCACTGAGAATTCAGGAAGGACTTTTTTAACCTACTGAACCACATCATACCTAGGAAAGATCTGAAGATTGTGTATTGCTTTTCAATGTTTTCTTTCCTCAGCACTGCTTTTTTTTGTTAATGCCAATCTTGCTAATGGTTTTTGCTGGTTGAGAAAACAGTTCAAGTTTTGCCCTGTGTCAGAGTGGCAATGAAGTGTGTAGGGGAGTGTGGGGGTTGCTCAAGTGGCAAAGCATATCTGATCTGAAAACAAAAAAACATCTGAGGCCGTTTGAACAAGTCATGCTCCTGTACACTTCTAATCCTTTGTGTCTGCCAAAAGAGATCTTGCACAAGCAGATCTGGCTTCATGCAACAGGAACATTTTTCTGTGCATGCAAGCTGGCTTTCACTTCTTGATAATGCGGTCTCTGGAAGCAGAGTTAATGTACTTGTTATATCCCTGGCTGCTGAAATTACCTTCAGATCAAGGTATTCATGGTTGGTGGTTTGGTATGTAGTTCTGTGTTTTATTGATTTTGTCTGTACTAAATTCCCTTACAAGCATGTGTTGTGATGGGGAGTCTCCTTCAGCAGTTCCAAAGGGCTCATGAGGAAAGGAGGTAATCCACAGGACATTAGAGCGTGAGACAAGCCTGAGATTACTTCATTTTCTCCCATAAAGTATCTTTTTACTTAACTGTACTTCAATTCACTTTTATTTGCAGCTACAGTTTTAGGGTTTGTTTGTTGTTTGTTTTTTTTTTTAAGTAACAAAAAATAATTTATCGGCATAAAATCAGCTGGCTAACAGACAGAAAATGTTCTTTTATTTTCAAAATATATACTACTACTATTATTCAGACTAGTTTACTTGCATAACTGTGGTAGATGTGCTTTCTAACTTAGAGGGAAAATGGTAGAAATACAACAAACTAAAATCTTTCAACTCAGTTTCTGGGAAGAGTTGTTAAGGCATGGAATATCTGAGGTGCCTACAGAAGGGGTGGGACAAGAAAAAGCAATGCAAATGCTATGCTGTGTGTTTTACGTATACAAAAACCCACTAATCATTTTTTTCTGGGATAGCCACTGGTTGATTCACTAGAAGGTAGTGGGGAAGTGGATGGCAGGGAGAAATCTCTGTAGCCTGGTTTTACTCCACTTCTGGCTTCACCACAATTTCTTCCTGCAGATGACTCCTGCTGGCTGCTGTAAGTGATAAGGAAGGGCCTCAGCAGGGGCAGTGCTGCTCAGAGGCGACATGACAGATCCGTTCTTCCCGTATCAGTGCGGCAGAGAAGAAGGGAAGTACTTCTGCAGGGAAAGGAAACTCACATGAATTTCTCGGGGGAGGAAAAGAGCACTAAAAGAATTTAGGATCACACAGGAAAAAGTGATGTAAGAAAAAAATAATAATAAGGGAAGTAAAAACAACAACAACAAAAAATCCTACAACCAAAAAAAGCACCAGAAATTGGCTGGAATCCATTTCAGGAAATCACTCTAAAGGCAAGTAGCTTTGTCGCATACAGAAATACAGACTGGGAAGAATACTAAAGATGACAGGGAAATTCTGACACAGCCATACTCCAAACTGCCATGCTATCCCTACACATGGAGACTGACTTTGTGCATGGAAATGTTAAAGAAGCACAGCTAAAAATGTCTTTGGTTTTGAATTGAAACACAGTCTGGAACGTGCCAGGCATGGCATGTTCCCGGGAAACACGATTTGCCTTGCAATTTACCTTTCTATTCCTTGTCTTCTTGGAAGAACTGTTTTGCTACAGCACTTCGAATTATCTGTCATATTAGGTACATTTTCCTAGCTCTGGAAGTGTGGTAGGAGGCAACATCAGGATTTTCTCTGGTCAGGGTTCCCAGAGAAGGAACAACACATTTCAGGGAAAAGAAGAGGCACAGATAAGAAATCTTACCAGGCTATCATATGGATTGAAAACATAGAGCTTGATGATGCTGCAGATGAACAGTACAGTGTATCCCTGCCAAGTCTGGCACACCAAGGAAGTATCAGTGTCACAGCACTTGTAGTGCAGAGCTTATCATGCCCAGTGTCCCTTGCATATGGAAGCCCATGTGTCCAGGACACAGTAGATGTACAGTGAGTGCAGTGTGCAGAGTGCCTGCGTACCCCTTGCCTTGGGCCACTCTTGAACCTAATCAATGAACTCTGCTCTCCGCCAAGACTGTAAGCCTTGTTCCTGCCCCACCAGCTCAAGCCCAACAGCTGTAGCACTGAGGAGGAAAGGTGGAGTCTTGGCTGCCTCTGTCCTGATAACCTCCAGAGGAGGAGGAGCCAGCAGCCCTGGGGAGCGTGGTCCCAGGAGCACGGTCCAGGTAGGCTGAGCAGGGGGCGTAGTAATGTTTGTGACTGGAAGTAATGGCTATGGGAAAGTGATCTTGAGAGGAAGAGGTATACTTGTTTTGAGATGGACTTTTTCACACATTTGATGTTGGTAGCTTATCCGGCTCAGTGTGGGAAAAGGTGCCTCTTCACTAAATGACATATATTTTCCTAAAAGATTTCCCATTGGAGATTATGTGCATTTACCACATTGACAGTAGCTCTCCACTTGGAGTTTATCTAAAAAGCAGTTACATTCCCACCCTAACCCCACTCCCCCCCACCGCCATTTCCTTCTGTTGTTCTTTTTTAGATCACTTGAAGGTTTTTTCCTGTTTACTATCCGGACATGCTGTGCATGCTGTGTTGATTTGACTGTCACATAAGGAATCTCCTACTGGGATCACTGACACATTCCTTTCTTATAGATACAGTTATACATGTACATGTCATCGGCTCTTGGATGATGGAAGAGAAACGCTGGTGATAATACCAAACTGCAATGAGCTACTGGTCTTAATGGGCATTAAGTTTAATTACCCTTTCCCAGAAAACCTGCAACAGTGTGATGGGTATAGTCATACAAAAATTCTCTTTAATTGACATAACAGGAAAGGTACTTCAGTGAGCAATTATGCTGATGTCCTGGGCTGGCACATGTGTGTACCACAAATATATCTTGTATTTCCTGCAAATTTCTTTTAAGTAGCTATAAGGAAGACATTCTCTTTTTTTTTTTTTTTTTTTTTTTTTTTTTTTTTATTTAAAAACTTAGGTTTAATTTAGTTAAGGGTTTTGAACAAAAAAATGCTTTTTGAATGACCTGCCAGAACACAAAGGATGCAAGGGTTTTTTTTTTGCTTTGTTGTTTTTTTTTTTTTTTGTTGGTTTTTTTTTCAGCAGGAAGTTTTGTTGTTGGAAACTTCTATAACATGGACTGTCCTTGCTCTATGAACCACTGTCTAGTCCTGCAAGCCGGCTTTTGTTACTTGCCTCATCAAACTGGCACAAGCACTGTTCTGCTTCACTCTGAGGGCTTTGTTCAGTTCTGAGTGTCCTCACACTTACTCTCCATCCGGACTGATGCACAATAAACAAACTTCAGAAGTCGGGTGGTCCAATGACTGCTGGGTTCGCACAGGTCAGGGCCCACAGCTAAGAATGCTGACTTTGTGAATTGCCGTTTTTTTTTTTCCTTAGACTGCTTGAAGTCAGAGTGCTATAGAGTACAAACAGTTTTGAAGAGTTTCAGGTGTAAATATTCCTTTCCGAAACTCGACTTTGATGTGTTCAGGTCTGCTTTGTTTCCCTGTAGGTTAGTTGTAGGCTTGTGACAAGGAATCAGATCCGACTGAGTAAATCACTTGTGGAAGTTAATTGTTCAGAGTGAAAGCTGGTCTGGCTCATTTTGCCTCTGTCACAGGAAGAGACAGAGGTGGTGTGCTGGATCTGCGTTCTAAACCAAGCACTGACGCGACTAATTTCGATCAGATGTCTCTCTTCAGGGCACTAAAGAAAACTTTTGCAGTAGTTAAAAAGAGCCTCTTCTCTAAAGAAACGTAAGAAAAAAATAATGCATTTTACAGAAATAAAGTACTAACATAAAATTTCAGCTTGATCAAATTTCTTTTGCAGGCTATTTGAAAAGAAATCTACTTCTCCATATTTGGCAGTCACCAGAATCAAAGAATATTTTCTTTTTTTTTTTTCCTTTTTTTTTTTTTTTCTGACAATATATAATACTAAGTTCTTTTTAATGTCAGCTATTTTATAGGAGAAACTTTATATTCCAGCTCTTTTAATTCACTACTCATGCGTTCAGATTGTACCTTCTATGCTTGTACCTTCTCCTTTTTCAACACTTTCAATTGCATTTCAGAACAAATTTTGTGATTTGATTTCATTAAGTAACAGTCTTCTTTTCTTTTCTCCTCAGGACTGAAGCAGTGAGGATGGAAGCCACTCAAATTAATATGTCCCGCGTTCCACTGGTTAACGGAGGCATCAGCACTGCGCTCAAGGCACACAAGCCCCGTGTGATGTCCAAAAGCGGTCACAGCAATGTGCGCATAGACAAAGTTGATGGCATTTACCTACTCTACCTTCAAGATTTGTGGACTACAGTTATAGACATGAAGTGGAGGTACAAACTCACCTTATTTGCTGCTACATTTGTTATGACCTGGTTCCTCTTTGGAGTTATCTATTACGCCATTGCATTCCTTCACGGAGACTTAGAAATAAACAAGTTCACCTCAAAGCAGGAGCCATGTGTCAAGAATGTAGACTCTCTTACAGGTGCATTCCTCTTCTCTCTGGAGTCACAGACAACCATTGGCTATGGATTTCGTTTCATTACAGAGGAGTGTCCACATGCCATTTTCTTGCTTGTGGCCCAACTGGTTATCACCACCTTGATTGAGATCTTCATCACAGGCACATTTCTGGCAAAAATTGCAAGACCTAAAAAAAGGGCAGAAACTATTAAGTTCAGCCACTGTGCTGTCATTACTAAACACAACGGAGATCTTTGCCTGGTGATCAGGGTAGCAAACATGAGAAAGAGCCTTCTAATACAGTGCCAGCTCTCTGGGAAGCTTCTTCAGACATACGAAACCAAAGAAGGGGAGAGAATCCTGCTTAATCAAGCCAGTGTCAAGTTCAATGTTGACTCCTCTTCAGAAAGCCCATTTCTCATTTTGCCTTTAACATTCTACCATATTTTGGATGAAAGCAGCCCTTTAAGAGATCTCACACCTCAAAATCTCAAGGATAAGGATTTTGAGCTTGTGGTGCTCCTGAATGCCACAGTGGAGTCCACCAGTGCTGTCTGTCAAAGCAGGACTTCCTACATACCTGACGAGATCCACTGGGGTTATGAATTCGTGCCTGTGGTTTCTCTCTCTCCAAATGGAAAGTATGTGGCAGATTTCAGTCAGTTTGAGAAGATTAGGAGAAGCACAGATTCTTCTTTTTATAGTATGGACTCAGAAAAACAAAAATTAGAGGAGAAATACAGGCAGGAGGATCAAAGAGAGAGGGAACTAAGAACGATGTTGTTACAGCAGAGCAATGTTTGATTGAGTGGACAAACTATCTTGTTAAATTCTTTCCAAAACCTGAAAGAAAAAAAAAAAATTTTTCTGTACTGTGTGTCTATTATAAAACCAGCGGTGAAGACTTTTTCAGAAAATAGCTTTGGCGTAGAGTAAACATATCCCTTTGTTTGGCTGAGTTGTTAATCAAGTATTTTATAATTAGGTGGGATTTCTTTGTTCATGATCTTAGCAAAGTTGGATTTGTATCAAGTGTCTGCCTCATACCAACGCTAAAAGCAGACACACCACTTTCTGTTTGGAAAGTGAAACTGGATGCACAGTGCTGATTCCTTCAAATATTTATTTGACGAACTTTTACTGTGAGCAGAGACAGCACATAGTACTGCTAAAAAAAATATGTGCTCTGTTAAAAAAATGTCTACTTAAAATGTAAATTTTCATACCAGGTCTTATCTTTGAAGGAATTCCTGGTGAGGAAAATCAGGGAGACAAATTGTCAACCATGGGAAGAGCCTGCAGGGAAGGGACAAACTCCTTCTTAAATCTTGAAGGAGAGTGACGGAGTAGTTGTGCTGGGTGATCTAGAAGGGATTTCTCTTTCTCTGTTGCACAGAACGTGTTTTGTGATTACTCACTTTTTTAACCTTGTTAATGACTGATTCATAGCAAAAAAAAAAAAAAAAAAAAAAAAAAAGGAGGTAAGGGCAAGATATACAGAATCGTAATAGTAATCAACTAGAGTTAAAGCTGGCTTTGAGACACCCGTTTTTTATCCAGTGTAAATAGTTTGTAACAGCAGCATAACAATACATTTCTACAGATTGCTTGCTTTGCTATAGACCATATTTAATTTGGTTAAAAGAAATCTGTGTTATGTCTGTAGACAATATTTACTTTTTCTGGCAACCATAAAGGACAAGCATTCCTTTCATCCATTTCATTTTTGGTCTATTAAAACCATTCCACTAATAAAGGAATTTAGTTTGAGCAGCTCCTGATCTCTTTGTGGCACAGGGAGGGGGTGTGGGACCTTGCAGATGTTGAAAAAGTTGAGTGCTTCACATATGTAGGTATGTTCAGAACACAGCCAAGGATCTCAGAAGATCACTACAGTGGTCAGATTATGGGTAGTAAATCAGGTAGCAGTGATATCCATGCAATATGTATGTTCCACGTAGATCAGCTTTCTAATGAGACCTAGAAATTATTTTTGACTTGCATCACTTTGGCAATTTTATGAGTTCTAGAGATTATTCTTTGATTCTGTGAAAACTCTGGCAAACAAAAGCCTTATCAAGAATGGCTGAAAGGAGGTTGTAGTCAGGTAGGGGTTTGCCTCCTATCCCAGGTAATAGCAATAGGAAGAGAGGAACTGGCCTCAAGTTGCACCAAGAAAGTTTCAGGTTGGGTGTTAGGAAATGTTTCTTCTCAGAAGGAGTGTCAAGGCAGTGGCACAGGCTGCCCAGGAAGGTGGTGGAGTCACTGTCCCTTGGAAGTGTTCAAGAGCCATGTGGATGTGGCACTGAGGGACGTGGGCAGTAGTTACATTGGGGATGGGCTGATGACTGGACTAGGTGATCTTAGAAGTCTTTTCCACCTTAATGGTTCTATGATTCTGTGAGTTTTCTGTCTGTGAGACATCTTGGCCTGAGAGCCATCAAGACCTGCAGTAATGAAAGGACTTTCGCTGTCATCAAACTAAGAGCTACTGTACATAACTTGCCAGCACTTTGTGGCTTAGCTCTGATGCACAGTAATGATTTCTTGAATATTTGACAATGTTCTACTGTGAACAGAGATGGCACACAGTACTGCTTATGCAGTCCTGCAATCTGCAATACAATATCCTAAACAACAAGTGAACTGAATTTTGTTCCTGAGGAGCTACCCCGTTAGTCGAGAATAGAGTCTGTGGCGCCAATAATGAGTACCAAGAAGAAGAGAACATGTACCATTGGTAGGGAAGGAGATGGTGTCAAGGGATGGGAGAATGAAGGGCTTATAATTGCTCATTTGTCTAACGTTAGCTCTCCTGAGTTATCCAAAGAGAGAGAGACTTACACAAAATCAAGACGATACACTACCCACTACTATGCAAGCAGGGTTTCTCAGATCATTGTAACTACAGGGTCTGCCTAGTATTTTTGGAAAGCATTTCTGGGGGATATTGTGCAGTGTTATCATGCAAGTTTTCGTTTCCAGCCATATGCAGAGGATGCTAATACTTAAATCACTGATTGTTCATTTCCAGTTTTATTTTGTCTGACTGCTTATTTTGATGGAAGGAGCCGTATGTGCTCAATGAAGTTTTTCAGTGATTCTGTGTACCTTAGGTTCATGTCCTACCACTCAAAGAGCACTGCCTTGGGGTGCTCTGAGGTTAAGGTGAGCAGGCATCATAACCTTTCTACTATCAATTCTTAGCCTCCGTGGCTCAATAATCCATTCCAATTCTTTCTTGTCTGGATAAGTACACAGATTACAGTTAGATAGTCATTTCTAAAGTCATTCCCTAGGCGGTAAAATGACTTTAGAACAACTTTTAACAGCAGCAAGTGTCCTGACTCTTCTCCAGGAGTACTTGTTGATCAATTGAAATAAAGATTGCAATTTGAGTCTTCCAGAAGAGCATACATCCTTTCATTTGTTATTGCACTTTCTTGGTAGTATCTTACAAAAACCTAATTCCTTGAGCCCTGCAGTGGATACATTTGTCAAGACCTAAAAAGCTTATGTGTTTCTTGATTTTTGTGTCTAGAAAGTGGGTATCCAGCTGCAGCAGTGCAGTTGAGCTGGAACTTTTGAGGCAGCCAGTTAGGAGACTAAAGATCAAACTGCTCCTGTTTTTTATAGGATCTGAACCTCGTGATGTAAGGAAGTAGATAGGGAAATATGTATACCAATCCTAGTGTTCAGTTGTTGGGGATCACTAGTCCGTTTCAGTCATAAGGTTATCCTGAAGAAAACAGTCATCATAAGCAAAAGCCTTGGAAAGAAATACAGCATTACAAAAGTGATTCTTTCTGAACTTTCAGTGATGCAATTGAAAAGTAATTAAAAAGAAAAACAAACAAATAAATAAATGGAAACAAATATTCAGCAAAATGAAAGAGTGAGCAATAGTATACACATGGTAGTATAATATGTAATGTACATTTGTTCACTTCCTTCTTTAGAACAGTTTTACTCTGCAATGAGCTGTATTTCTCCTTTCTACTTTCATGTAGGTTTAATTTCTATTGCTCTGTCTGAACATTAAGAACAGTGTAGATGTGACTGGTGAAATCTGAAGCTGTAGAGTACTGAACTGCAGTAGAAAAACATCATGACGTAAATCTGATATGAATCACCAAAAAAACCACAACCTCTCTGTGGTCAGCCCTTCTGGTTATGTAAACACAGCTATGGTGATTTACATCAACTGAGGACTCACAGGATGGATAACCAAAAAGAAACACTGTGGTCATACCAAAACTGCCTTGCCCACAATTGAAGATTGTTCTGCCCATTTGGTGATTTAGGGCAAAAAGCCTCCCAGTCTGGTGTCTGTTCATCTCTGTTCATCCAAACTAAAACAGAATCTAAACTTTCATGGCCTAAAGAAAGTTGTAGAAAACTATGCCTTGTGTGCACTAAAAACATGGGCACACCCTTCAAGAAAATCTTCCATCCCATTCACCGTACAATTCAGAAGAAAATAGTAATAGAAAGTAAATATATTATTAAATTTGCAGAGAAATATGACATATTTATATTTCTTTTTCTTATGAGTTGCAAGTGAGCATAGGATCAGTTTTAGACTCACTTTGCCTGAACTTGTACGGAAGACAAGAATAGGTGCATATTTCAGCTCACGGACCATTTCTGAACTATTTGCTTTTGATTTGGCTTCAATATTTCATTGTTCTTCTCTTCTCTTCTCTTCTCTTCTCTTCTCTTCTCTTCTCTTCTC